AAATTAAAAAATCATTATTCACCTATAAAAACCAATTTTTTCTACATTAGGCATTCATTAAAAATTACTTATATATGTATATATTAATATATATATATATATATATATATATATATATATATTTAACAAAGTCTAATAATCGGGCATAACATCAATAAAAACATGAATTTCTTTCAAAAATTTATTTTAAATCCATACGTTTCGGCTATAATCCTAGCCTTCATTCAGTGGAAACTAAAAATAAAATTAAAAACTAAAACAATTGAATTGGAGTGAAAAGAAAAAAAATAAAATAGTAATTAGTACTTACAATTAGTTGATCTTAGTGTTAAATGGAAAATTTTAATAATCATTGGTATTAGATTCAGAATTCAGAATATATATATATATATATATATATATATATATATATATATATATATATATATATATATATACATTAACTACATATTTTTACTTTATATTTAGTAATTAGGATAGTTTATATTTCTAATATATTTGTACCACTTTGATACAATGTATGTACACAACATAAATTTTATATTAGTTTTTCTGCTTGTAAATTTTTGAATCCTTTGAATATATGTATATTTGTAATAATCTAAATACGACATACAATAACTAAATATCTATTTACTAATACTGATAAAATTATCTAATATATTTTTCATTCGTTAGGAACAATTATCACATTGTTAATTACTCTACTCTAATTGAAACCTAATATCCTAAGTATTATCAGTCGTTTTAAATTATTTCAATTCATCAAACTCCAAATTTAATTTAGTAATAATGTTATTATATATTTTCTTTTTTCAGAAAAATCAACGTCAGCTTCAAAGGAAATCCCTTGACTGATTGGCTTGTAAATCCCGGTCGTCGGTGTCGTTACAGGCATCTTCAAGGGATTGATCACAGGTGTTGTTTCCGCAACTGTTGAAAATATTCTGGAAGGAGTATTGAACGAAATCAACAACAGACCACCTCCAAGTCCAATGGTCAGGTTTTACTGATTCTTTTGGAAATGATTTTTTTACTCTACTGATTATTTAACCTTCATGTATTAATATTTTTACTACTATAAAAACTTATTACTTATAAAAATTATTTATGGTGTATATGGAATCTATATTGTTCTCTATGAGCTATATTTTTCTCTCCACTTTTCTATTCTATTTTTCTATTCAGGTTCAAGGAATATTGTGATTTCATTTACAATATTTAAATGTTTTATTGACCAGTTTATATTGTCAGATATTTTTGCAAGTTCATTGAGATGATGACTCAATTCTGATACTTCAAGTTCACTTAAATATTGTAATATCTTACATAAATAAAAATCATTTGCATGTATGATTTTTTCCAATATTAACCAGTTAACTGTGATTGACAAATATACTCGTTATGGAGAAGTGTTTGTGATTGACGTGTATACTCGTCATACGTATAAAAACCATAAGTTGCGATGTTTAAAATTATATATA